TAAATTGTTATGTTGTGTTGACTCTTAAGTTTACGAACTTAGAACTCTCCCAAATGAAGACAAAGAACTTACTTTTATTTCTTTAATTTTTTCTTAATGAAACAAGGATTATAATAGCCCTTTATATAGGCTTAAAAAACAAAACGTATGGGCATACCAATAGTCACAAATTAAACTCCTATTTTAATATCATAAAAATAAAATATCATAATGGAGTGAGTAACTCTTATTCTTCCATAACCTATGTCTCTTCCCCTTCTAAACTTATGATCCTTGCACTTCTAAAACTCATGCTATTAACCTTATTTATTCTAACATTTTAATTTGATATTCCAACATGCCCCTTCAAATCAAAATGTCTTTATGCTAAGCATATCTCTTAGCCTCATAAAAGTTTCACCTAATAATGGCTTGATGAATATGTCTGCTACGTGTTCAGTGGTGTGACGATGCTTCAGTTCAACGGTTTTCTGCTTTACATGGTCTCTGAAAAAAAATAAAACCGTGTATCTATGTGTTTGCTCCTCCCATGATGTACTGGGTTCTTTGCAAGCTGGATAGCTGATTTCTTATCCACAAAAATTATGGTCAGGTCTTCTTGTGGATGATCCAACTCCTCTAATATGTTCCTCAACCAAATTGCTTCACATACTGTAGATGTAGTCGCCACATACTCTGCTTCACATGAAGATAAGGCTACAATTCCTTTCTTCTTTGAGGTCCATGAAAATACAGTTGACCCAAGATAGAAGACATAGCATGTGGTGCTTTTCTTCTCATCTTGGTCACCTCCCTAGTCACTATCTGAGTAACCAACTAGTTGTACATTTTTATCATATGCATAGAATAGACCCAGGTTGAGTGTGCCTTTGATATACCTTAGTATCCTCTTCACAGCTAGCCAGTGAGACTCCTTCAGTGTCTTCATGTAGCGGCTCACAAGTCCGACTCTATAAGTAATATCGGGCCTTGTGATCGTCAAGTATCTCCGGCTGCCAAGTAGACTTTTGAAAAGAGTTGAATCCACAAAACGTCCGTCTCATTCTCTTGAGAGCTTCATTTCGATGGCTACTGGGGTGTTCACAGGGTTGCATTCATTCATCTTGAACTTTTGATTTCCTTCATGTAATTCTTCTGGGATATAAAAATCCCCTCTTGCTGCTGCTTCAGTTCAATGCCAAGAAAATATGACATCAATCTATTATCCGTCATCTTAAATTCATTAAACAATGCTACCTTGAATTCAGCAAGCATCTCGGTACTACTTCCTGTGTATAATAAATCATCAACATAAAGACAAATTATTAGAAATTTGCCTTTATGGTTCCTCTTCATGTAGATGGCATAATAAATCATCAACATAAAGACAAATTATTAGAAATTTGCCTTTATGGTTCCTCTTCATGTAGATGGCATGTTCATAGGGACATTTAATGAAGCCTCTTCATGTAGATGGCATGTTCATAGGGACATTTAATGAAGCCGTTTTGATGAAGATAGCCATCAATTCAGACGTTCCATGCTCGTGGTTCCTACTTTAAGCCATACAATGCTTTCTTCAAATGGTACACTTTGTCTTCTTGCCCTTTCACAAGAAAGCCTTCTGGTTGTTGCACGTACACCTCTTCCTCAAGAATGCCAATGAGGAATGCTGATTTGACATCCAAATGATATATATTCCACCTGTGATGAGCTGCAAGTAAAATTAATAGTCTCACCATATCCAGTCGAGCAACCGGGGCAAAGACTTCTTCATAGTCGATGCCGTACTTTTGTTTGTAACCTTTCGCTACAAGCCTCGCCTTGTACCGATCAACTTTACCATTTGTTGTGCGCTTGATCTTGTACACCCACTTGACACCTATTACCTTTTCATTTTGTGGAAGTGTTGTCAACTCTCAAGTGTCATTCTTTTGGATGGTGTGGATCTCCTCCTCCATTGATGTTCGTCAACAATCTTCTTTTACGGCTTTTTGGAAGGTGTAAGGTTCAGGATCAGCATATAAGCAGAAGAGATTTGACTCTCTGTCTTCTTCTATCTGCTCATAGATCTCCCTGAGGCTTCTCATTTTGATGCGACCTCGTTGTACGGTTAGTCCGCTGCTACTACCTTCCCCAGAAGATGGAGAACCTCTTGCATGAGAGGGTGTAGAATGTGGAGGAGATGGTGGCATAGCTGGTGATGGTACCTCATGTAGAGATTCATCAGGTTCATCCACCATGGGTTGATCTTTGGTAGTCTCTTCATTGCTCCAGTTCCATGCTTCTTCTTCATTGAAGACAATATCTCTACTAACAACTAGTTTCTTGCTTAGTGGATTGTAGAGCTTGTATGCCTTCATCTCCTCGCTATATCCGATGAAAATACATTTTCACCATGATTGTCAAACTTCTTCCTTTTGACTTCAGGTATTTGAGCATATGCAACACACCCAAAAATTCGTAGGTGTGTCACACTAGGCGTGTAACCTCTCCATGCCTCTTGAGGTATCATGTTCTTCACTATCTTTGTAGGACATCGGTTGAGCAAATAAGCATGAGCACACTATGGCTTCTGCCCAGAACTGCTTTGGCAATCCCTTTTCTTTGAGCATGGTTCTTGTCATGTCAAGGATGGTCCGGTTCTTTCTTTCTGCAATGCTATTTTGCTGTGGTGTGTAGGTAGTAGTAAAGTTTTTCTTTATACCTTGCTCCCTGTAATATTCTTGAAACAGATTTGAGGTGTACTCACCACCTCGATCAGATCAAAGAATTTTTAGCTTGTGGCCGCTCTCTGCTTCAACTAAATCTTTAAAATGCTTGAATGTAGTAAAGGCAGCAGATTTTTTTAAGAGTGTACACCCACAACTTTTTACTAAAGTCATCACTGAAGGTTATAAAATATCTATTACCTCCCAAAGAGACGGGATCGATCGGTCCGCAGATGTCGGTGTGAATAAGTTGCAATTGTGCCTTTGCTCTCCATGATTCTCCACTGGGAAAAGGAAGTTGTGGTTGCTTGCCAATTACACAACCTTCACAAATATGATTCAGTGGATCGATTGTTGGTAGACCTCGTATCATACCAGCTGTAGACAGTAACTTCAGGCCGCTAAAGTTTAAATGGTCAAAGCGAAGATGCCACCTCCATGACTCATTCTCCATGAGTCCTTGAAAACACTTGTCGACTTTCGTGTTTAAATACAAGGGAAACATGCAGTTCCTTGTCATCTTAACACAAGTTATGAGGCCTCCATTTGTATTTTTCAACCAAAGATGGTTGTTCTACATATGTACTTTGTATCCCTTTCTGAGTAATTGATCGATACTAAGAATATTACTTTTCATGTTAGGAATATAGTAAACATCGGAAATATACTCGGGCTTACCATCCTTTTGGTAGATTTTAATCTTCTCTTTGCTTTCAACCGGGAGTTTTGAAGAATCTCTCAGGCTCACACTTCCATGAACTCCTTCTGCGAGTTCTATGAAAAGTTCTTTCTTCCCGCACATGTGGTTGCTAGCACCTGAGTCAAGGTACCAAGCATCATTCTCAACACTTGAATCATCATGAGCAAGAAGAAGCGTAGAGTTGTTACCCACATCATTTGTTGCTTCGGAAAGATTGGTTTGATATTTAGTTTTTGTGCTAACAATCTGAAGCATAGTGCCCAAACTTATGACAGTTATAGCACTGAACATACTTGTTGTTTCCACGCCCAGGTGTGGATCTTCCACGATTGCTTCGTCCTCGTCCTCTAAAGCTTTGGGTCACTACTTGATTTTGAGTGGTTTACTGTTGGGGACCACGTCCCCTGCCTCTACCACGACCACGACCATGACCTCTACCTTGTGAGCCTTGATTACTTAGAGTCAATGTTGACTCTAGCACTTGTTCCAAAACTATGGAACTAGCCTTCTTTTGCATTCGTTGTTCATAAACTTGGAGAGATCCCAAGAGCTCCTCTATTGAGATCTCCTCCAAATTTTTTTACTCCTCAATTGCCGCCACCACATGCTCGAATTTTGGTGTGAGTGATCGGAGCAACTTCTCCATCACTCGGATGTTCTCTATCTTCTTTTCATTTCTTCTCATTTTATTCACAATTAGAAGTAATCGTGAATAAATTTTTTCTTCATCTTTCATTTGAGCGGCTTCAAGGTCGCCCCTCAAAGTTTGGAGGCGAATTCACTTCACCTGCTCGACACCTTTGTAGATGGTAGGAAGGATTTCCCATGCTTCCTTGCTCGTCGTTGCTTCGGCAACTCTCTCAAAGGTAGACTCGTCCAACCCTTGATAGAGTAAAAAACGAGCCTTGCTATCCTTCTTTCTTTGCTCTCTGAGAGCCTTCTTCTCTTCGGCGGTGTAAGTGGCTTCTACTTCTGGTGTAGGTTCCGTGAACCCATCAATGATCAGCTCCCACAACTCTTGAGAACCAAATAAGGCTCTTATTTGGATTGACCAACTCTCATAGTTATCTTTCGATAGTTTGGGCACTTGAGGATTGAGAAGATTATTTGTGGTAGCCATGAGAAGAAGAGAGAATGGAAAAATTGGATCAAGTGGCTCTGATACCACTATTGACTCTTAAGTTTACGAACTTAGAACTCTCCCAAATGAAGACAAAGAACTTACTTTTATTTCTTCAATTTTTTCTTAAAGAAACAAGGAATACAATAGTCCTTTCTATAGGCTTCAAAAACAAAATGTATAGGCATAACAATAGTCACAAATTATAAACTCCTATTTTAATGTTATAAAAATAAAATATCATAAAAGAGTGAGTAACTCTTATTCTTCCATAACCTATGTCTCTTTCTAAACTTATGACCATTGCACTTCTAAAACTCATGCGATCAACCTTATTTATTCTAACATTTTAATTTGATATTCCAACATATTTCCCCATTAAGCTTTAGTCAAGAGTATATAGACACAAGAGACTCTCATTAATCAAGAAATTAAACATTGTCAAAATATGATGGAAATACATGATACGCATCAGCATCTCAAACTTACATATTCAACATTCCAGCTTCACTAGAACAAACATTAATGCACACATATACTTACGTAATACTCATCATCAATCCGTGTTCCTCGATCTCCTCTTCAACTTAACCTGCAGCCCATTATTCACTTGAATAATGATCGCAATCTTAGGATCAACAGCGTGGCCTTCGACTACCTGCACGTTGAAGTTGTATATCACTGCAGCGGCGATCAATTTTATCTGTGTGATGGCCATGTTCTTCCCTAAACAAGACCTCGCTCCTGAGTGGAATGCGATGAACTTGTATGAAGGCTCGAGCCTCAGCGTTCCCTTCTCCGTAATCCATCTCTCGGGCTTGAACTCCAAGCAATCCTTCCCCCAGATTTCCTCCCTTCTTCCCATTGAATACATGGAGAAGATTATCTTAGTGCCAGCCTGAACTTTGTGGCCGCTGGGCAAGATATCGTCCCTTTTAGCAACCTTATGATTGAAAGGTAAAGATGGGTAGAGCCTTAGGGTTTCGCACACGACCGCTTGCAGGTAGACCAATGCTTCAATCTCCGCAGCTTTGAACACAGTCATTTCATCATTTTCATCATCGTTGACCTTAGAGGAGGGTCGAAGCTTCCTAAGCTCTTCTAGCATCTTTTTCTCGACATCAGGGTTGCTGGTGACTAGCCAGAACAACCAGATGAGGGCCGCTCCTGTGGTGCCATTGCCTGCAGCTAGGAAAGTTAACGACGTGTCTCTCAAGAACTTGTCGTCAGAGTGATTGATGAATGACGTGATCACATCAGTTCGCTCTTCTTTGGTTCTGCTTTGGCTGTCGCCAATTTTCTCACGCTCTCTTTTATCGCGAATACATTTGTCGACGAAACGGTCTATCACCTCCATTGCCTCCGCCATCTTCTTCTCTTTACCCAACCGTAGCTTCCTCAGCAGCTTCCACCAAAACCTGGGAACTATGTGTCGGAAGAGGAGGACCTGTTCGATTTGGTCTAATGCCATTGCAAACGGAATGCTGGGGAAGTCAGAAGCAAGATAGCCAGGATCCACGCCCATAGCCAAATCACATATGGTGTCGAAGATCAATCTCATGGACACATCGCTCAGATTGACCACCTTATCGCATTCAGCCATCTTGTTCAAGAGGGGAAGGAGCACCTTCACCACTTTTTTTAAGGTGAGCTCGCCAACAGAGGACCGAAACCTTGGCGCGTTCACATGTGCTTGAACCATTCTTCTCCGGTCCTTCCACAAGTCCCCGTTGACATTGAGGATACCGTCCCCAAAAACATCGAATATCTCAATGAACTCTTCACCTTTTGGATAGTCAGAGAAGTGAACATTGAACATGTGGTTGGCATTATCGGGGCTGCATGTCAGTAAGGAGTCCATCCCACAGAACCACGGGCCTTTGAACATGAAAGTGTTGCCGAACTCTTGAAACATGGAGGTCACGTGGTCGAGGAGGTGGTGGTTGTTGGCGATGATTGTCGGAAGCATGCCGACAACCGGCCAGTTGACGACGACCTTGCTGCCTCGACGAGTCGTGCAGCGAAGTAGGTAGGCGAGGAGAGCGGCAAGTATTGCTAAGTGAATCTCTGGAAACCTTTGGAAGACGAGGCATCCTTCTCGGAGGTATGCATGCCAACTCTCGTTCATTTCTGTTTCGTTTGAGGAGATGGGTTTGGATGTGCAATGAAGTTAATGAACGGATTTGTCTACTTTATAAGATTACTGAAGGTGTCAGAAAGCCAACAAGAAAATATTCTTCTTTATTTGTGATTAATGCCATTAAGTTGTTTGCCGTTGGGTGCATTATACTTGGATGTGTACGTGTGAACCACATTCAAGGAACTCTTATTGAGACTTTTCTAACTTAATTATATCCAACTTGGGATCATTAAACTTTATCAGGATGATGTTGATGCGGGTGTATTCAACAACTTGGTTCTGTAATAATTCTTAAGTCTTAAACAGTCATAAGCAATTAATATATGGATGTGAAGATAATTTAGTCCAAGTTTTTATCCTCAAGTAGCTTGCATATTTTGATCTACATGTTGATAGTGAATAATGCTCTAAGCTCCCTCAGTGTTGGTTATTTTCGGTGGCTGAAGGGTGTCTTCAAGATATCTACATGTAGGATTGATTGTAGATATAACTTTTGTACCATAGAAATTACCCACTTACTACTCCTAAACTTTGTTTTCTAAGTACCTCTCTGTTAAATGCACATGTATTATAGGGATGCAGGTTAAACATCTGCTGATAGACCCTCTTATGTCCAGCAGAGTTACTCTGCTATCTATACATGTACGTACTACATATAAGGAAGACATGTTCACCATTTATAAGAGCTAACTCTGTTTAGGAAATCTCTTTACAAATCACTGAAATATCAGGAAATATCTCTGCAACAAACTAATGTTACATGACACTTATTGAGTATAAATAACGGAAAAAGCAATCTGTTTGGGTACAAATTCAATAAATGGGTTTTGAGACTCTGTTTTATTAATAACAGGTAGTCGTTATGCCTTCACGGATATGGATCATCTATGCTATGAGTTAATAGTAGTATATGCTATCAAGTCTCTCTCTTCCGCTACAATGGTCTGAGGCAAGTTCAAATCCCTCTTCTTCAGTGTCTTTTATCCTTACGAAGTAGCATATACTTTTCTACTGGCTTATGATGTTTTCCTACATGTATTTCTGTCTCTAAGTTTTCTCTAAATATTTTCGGTATGTCGTGAAGAGGAATCCTTCTCTCTGGTATGGAGGCTAAGTCCAGTTCATTTGGTGGAGAGAAGTTCTTGATGTGCGATGAACTTGTTGGGGCACTTGTCAATTTGACAGGCTGCTACATTGTGAATAAGAAAGGACCCTGATTTCTTTGGACTTAATACCACTAAGTGGTTAGTTGTTAGTTCATTAAACATGCATAGACCTGATTAATTTCTTTGGACTTAAATGCCACTAAGTGGTTAGTTGTTAGTTCATTAAACTTGAATTAATAAAAAACGAACTGTACATGATAATATGATGGTGACAAAACTATTTCATTAAGTTATGCATTAAGCTATTTCATTTCTAGGTCAAATCCTATAAAAGTTTCTAAAATGAGGAAACAATTGTTTTGCATGTGCCACAGCTATCTTTGGACTTAAGGTGACATGATTTGGGTGTTCACTTTGTGCATTTGATTTGATCCTCGTTCCTTGCCAAAGTTTCCCTCGTTATTCTACCGAAAAAAGAAAAAAAGAAAAAGAAAAAGAAAAAAGAAACAAAAGAAGTACTTGTATATTTGCATGTCTATACAAGAAAGTAATAAAAGAACATTAGCAGGTTGCAGGCTGATGGTGATTAATCGATTTGGTTTTCTAAGTACCTTCTGCGATCCTGTATTATTATTGAACCAAAGTAAAAAAGACAAAATGTTTTCATGGATTTATCCTTTTTTGTTGGTTATTTCTATGCCTGAAGAGGGTCTGCCAGATATTAGGTATAAATATTTGTAGTTCAAGCATTTGTAAGGAAGTGAATGAAGTTAGAGATAACATTATAGTGTTTTTTTTTTGATGGAACATTAGCATGTTCTTCATAACCTTTATCTTTAGTGTATCCATTCATTGCTGCATTGTATCTCTGTATCTCTAGGATGCTGAATTGTGTCTCTTAGCTTTTTAAAGATTTCTTCACAGGCCTTATTCATTTGTTAAATACAGATTACGCCTCTAAACTCAGACCCTCATATGTGCACATATGTATACCTCATATCTGTTGTTGGCTAAAGATAATAATTATAGATATAAGCAGGGAATTGAATCTATGTGTATGTGGACAATTTTCAGCCATTAATAGTTATGAATTCTTATTAGCAGGTTTGTACCGATTTTCTTAGACTATTCCAAACATTCATGAAATGGTTGCTCTCATTTACTTTTTCCTGGTATTTCTGCTTCAACGTCTCAGTTTTTTCACGCTGACCTTGTTACTAGTTGTTTTTTTCTTCTTTTTTCTTTTCCCTTTCTATTGTTACAAAAGCTCATAGTTGATCACTCTGAATACTTAGGTTCCAATCAGATAAAGTTGACATTTTATATTTTGGTGTTTGTCGAAACTTGCCATTCTATTCTTAGAAATAATGATGTAGTTATCTGTATATCATAAGAACTTGTAGTTTTCTGTTTGACTTATTGATATGATGCTCACTTCAGGGCTGGGCTCAACAGCTTTCTGCATCTGATGGAAATTAATGGGACTTGATGAAGGTCATACATTATAGTGTAAGTCTCATAATATTGCTTGTTCTTAAGGTGTTCGGAACTTTCGACGTGTAACAAGTTAAGAGTCCGCCAAGCTTGCATCTTAATTTACGTCATTTTTGTTTATATTTTCCCATCATTTTCCAATATCTAGGTGTGGATTTTTCTTCAATATATCTACTTTTGCGTTGTTGACTTATATTTGAATACTTTATATGGTGTAGAATCGGATCATCGAGAAAGCAACCTCATCAGAGGTCGATTCCATCACAGAGGACGATCCACTTTCTTTCACCCGGATGTTAGATTCTCCTCATGAAGGGCATCATGGTGGTTATGAAAGAGTTATGGGCATTGGTGAAACTCGGTCTTATTTGAGGGCATCCTCTATATTGGAAATCAACACTTCTAAATCAGGAGCTACATTGCGAGTTGGCCAATCTTAGATCTTGGCTAGCTGAGATGGACAATCTTAGGGAGGATCTTAGGGCTCAGATTCATTGGATTAATAACCAGATGATACATATGCTAATATATACACACACTCGCATGCACGTGTACACTGACATACCCACATATATGTATACTTAATACTCATACACGCATATACATACACATAGACTTAACACTTAGACATATACATACTTACACATACACTATGTATACACTCATACCTGGCTATTACTTTATAGGTTAATTCTTAGAACGCTCATCTTTCTCCCACTCCTACTGATCCACCGTCTTTTACTCGTCTTGCTCCAACTCCTTAGCCCGCTATTGATATTCCAGCTTTTGCTTGTTCTACTTTGACTACTTACGCTTCTACTTCTAATGCTCAAGGTTCAACTCATGGTTTATCACAAGAGGATATTGCTAGGATGTTTGTAGACTCGAGGGTTTTGAGCATGTCCCAGGAGGACATTCTCTGAGGAATTTTTTTAGTTCCTTGACCGGATGGATCAGACCACTTTTGTTTTATTTTGGATGTTATAGACATTTTGGATATTAGAGAACATGCAATATGTATTTGGTATTTGTGTATATTTTGGGAGAGGTAGAGACTTTGTCAGCTTCTTGTGTTTTCGTTTAGCTAATTGTATGGGTTGAGATATAGAGTTATGTCATTGAGTGAGCTGTATCAATATTGAATCGTAAAGCAAGTAGCTAAATAAAGCAGCTAAATTATTAAAAAATAAAAATTAATTGTCCAAACGGTTTAAACTGTTTGGGCTACTATTTGGAAAGAATAGTCCAAACTGATTAGTCCGTTTGGACAAATATCTATCCAAACGATCGCAACCGTTTGGAAAAGCTTCGGTCCAAACGGTTTAAACCGTTTGGATAGATTTCATCCCAAAAGGTTTGGACCGTTTGGATAAATATCTCTCCAAACGGTCATAACCGTTTGGACAAAAAGTAGTCCAAATAGTTTCAACCGTTTCAGATATAAATTATCCTAAATGTTTTTGACAATTTGGATAATTTTTACTTGGACAAACAGTTATAACCGTTTAGGAGTTTGTCCAAACGGTTTGAACCGTTTGAGCAACTGTTTAAGTAGAGTTACCCCTAACGGCTTCTGTCCAAACGGTTGTTTTGTCAGTCCAAATAGTTGTAACCATTTAGGACGGTATTTGCCCAAACGGTTTCACCCGTTTGTACTGCCAATCTTTGTTGTAGTGTTATAATTATATTTGCATGTCTATGTAAGCATAACTCTTAAGCAAATCAAACTTCATTTTGATTTAATCATCATAATACCAAGATCTCAGAACAAATGATTATCACTATGAATAACTAATTAAAGAAAACGTACCTTGATCCATGATTTGAAACTTGAAGAGAAATTGATTCAAAGATGTACAACCTTGAAGACTTGCGTTTCTCTCTCTTAACCCTCTTAAAATATTCCGAAAATTTTCTTGATGGAGAGAAATTTTCACACACATAGGTAGAGAGAGGACCAAGTCTTTAAATAGAGAAAAAACTCATACTCCATCAACATGAGTAGTTATCTTAATTGACCAATAGGAATTAGGCATAAAAACATGATTAGTTATATAACTAAATAAAACATGACTATTTTCTTAAACTAACAAAAACGTGAGAAAGTTAACTTGACCACTAAAGGTGGTTTTGCAAAATGTGGGTAGTTACAAAATAGTGGGAAATATGGGCCACAAAAATTCTAACATTCTCCAACTTGGCCCATGTTTCAAGATTTAAAATACAACATAATATGCAAAGTATAAGCTAATTAAATCATCATATTGATCAAAACATCAATCATCATTAAGTAGAAAACTAATAAGGATCATGGCGGTCGTACGCAGCTAAATCGACATAGTCCCTTCCATGTATCACAATATTAGTTTTAAACCAAACATAACCAGTAATAAGACTTA